CTCACACCACCTCCTCACATCACCTCCTCACATCACCTCCTCACATCACCTCCTCACATCACCTCCTCACCTCACCTCCTCACGTTACCTCCTCACGTCACCTCCTCGCGTCACCTCCTCTCATCACCTCCTCATATCACCTCGCACCTCACCTCCTCTCATCACCTCCTCATATCACCTCCTCATGTCACCTCCGCACATCACCTCCTCACATCACCTCCTCACGTCACCTCCTCACATCACCTCCTCACGTCACCTCCTCACATCACCTCCTCACATCACCTCCTCACCTCACCTCCGCACATCACCTCCTCACATCACCTCCTCACGTCACCTCCGCACATCACCTCCTCACATCACCTGCTCACGTCACCTCCTCACGTCACCTCCGCACATCACCTCCTCACATCACCTGCTCACGTCACCTCCTCACGTCACCTCCGCACATCACCTCCTCACATCACCTCGTCACATCACCTCACAAATCTGCGGTGAAACTTGTGGGAGGCCATGGTCCCCAGTGAGCGGCAGTCGATGATGTCGGAGTATGGGCCGTCACCAAGCTTCGAATGCGAAACAGAGGCGGAGTTGTTTGAAGATGTTTCGATATGTCCTCAACATAGCGATACTCGTATTTAATAGTCATCGTATTTGGACTCACGATGTTTGTCAGTTCATGTCATTTTTGTGTGCTGTTTTTCTTAATAGGCGCTGCATAGTTATACGTTTTGGTTGGCACTCGTTCTATTGCCAACAACTCTTTGCTGTTTTGCTCTCTTAAATGAGCCCCATTTTCTGGCCTCAAATCGCGTTGTTGCCATGACATTAAGGGTTACAGGTGGCAACTTGGCAACTTGATCTCAGTTGTTCAATCTGAGCTTTCATCCGTTCTTTCCTGCAGAAGCACGTGCACTCCCCACCTCCACCACCGCCGCCACCGCCGATGGTGTCTGGAGAAGATGTGTTCGGATCTCAGTTTTTTCATGTTGGAATTGGCAATTGGTCCTACAACTGGAGCAGCTGGGTATGTAGTTTTGAATGGGACCTCCAGTCGAAACCTCTTGCTCGAATCAAATCAGGTTGGAGAGTGGTTTATCTCCAACACACGCTCAAACGTCAAATCAAATCTATACAATCCCAACTCCCAACCATTTGAACAATTCGAGAACTCCAATGACTCTTTGCCAACAGCCAGAACGGCGTGCTTTGCTCAGGTTCACCGAGCTGCAGAACCTCCCGATGGGTGTGATGCCACTGCAGGTGACATCGAAGTAACGTCACAAAGTGTGCATTTCTTTTAGGGGGTGCTATATTGAAATTTTATAATATATATATATAATATTGTATATTTATCTTTTTTTTAATGGAGAGGGGTATAGTAGGCCGCCAGAGGTAGCTAGGTAGCTAGGGAGTCGCTAGTAGGGAGCGGTAGCTACTACCTGCAAGTGGACGCTACTACCTTGGACGCAGGATAGCTCACGCTCTTCAAGGAAACTCCCGCCGCCGCGCCAAAGGCGGCGGGAAGCTTCCTTGAAGAAGCGCTCGCACTAATGATTTGGTTCCTAGATTTTTTAGGGAAACTTAACTATATTATGTCATGTTAAAGAGCTTCAAGGAGACGGAGACGACCGATCAAGTGAGACGACCAGAGGTTCTTACTTGGTGATGTTTTGGCCTTAGCTATGTATACTACTCCAAACAGCAAGAGACCACTCGGAAGGACACACAATTTGTTCATTGGAATATGTTGAGTGCTTTTATTTTAAGCCGACGTTGCCCTCACCCTTACTTAATTACAGAAAGTAGGTGCCTACTGGCTAGGACGCAGGATAGTTCACGCACTATTCCTGCGATGTTTTGGACCTCGATGTTCTACCATTGACCTCACAGCTCTCAGCGTTGTTCACTGCCCTACTTTTCCTGTTTTGTAGATGTAGATGTTTGATGATTTTTGTAGGGTGTCTACTGATTTTCCAAGAGATGACCTGTCTCAGTTGCAGGAGTCCCAGATCTCTACTGTTCCAGTGCTTTCCGAGCACACAAACCACATTATTGAGGACATTGACGCGGATGAATGATAAGTTATCAGTGATTGTTGCTTGTTGCAGTTGTGTGTTGTGAGATATTTCTGGAAAAGTTGATGAATCATTTGCAGCTGCTGCTCTAGTACTTTATTTCTTTGCGAGAGCACTCTGTTGAACAGCTCGATTGGTTTGGATTTTTTGGTGAGCAAGCAGAATTTGACCAGGAGGGTCCCGTTGAACAACACGAGTGGTGCGGGGCCAACAGTTTGTTTGCCTTGCTTGACCTGGAAAGAGTTTGGCTTACGAGAGGTGCATGTGTTTTTTTGTTCATGGTTGTTGGCATTCTTTCGTTAGTACGTTGAACATCTATCTACTGTACTTGTAACATCTTGTAACATGCAAGTTCAATCTGAATGTCTCTGAGGTGTGGGATGTGGGGAGTTGGATGCCGACAGGAGCAGCTTTCGCGAGCGAAAGAAGTGATGTTGTTGAAGCTTTTATCACCACCCTACCTGGATGGTCAGACATCTCCAGATGAAGGGTTCCACTATATA